AACGTGCTTTAAGTTTCAGGTTACCTCCATTTTTTTCGGTACGAAGCTTGTGACCTTGAAACAGTCCAGGACACTGTTCCTCTGTACGAGTGACGTCATGCTCATCTCGCAGTGCGCGCTTACGTCACTGTCTCCCTCATCTGTCGCGTGTTCACTTCGGTACCCGATACAGCAACCGCCTTTCGCTACACCACCGAATCGTTCGTTCGCGCGCAAAAAGTTTGATGCGTGCCTAGTACGCGCTGAGAGAGAGGTTCAGGAAAGGAAAATAAACGCAACTTCTGCAGCCCTAATTGATCACACAGTTCAGTGCCTGTAGGAGCGGGGTGGCGGCTTTACAGATGTGGAGAAGAGAGAAGAAGAAGAAAAGAAAAGGCGTTTATGACCAATGAGATGGCTGGCGGCTTCTACAGCCGGTTGTGCAGTCCAGTATCCTAAAGGAAGCGAGGAACCGCCTTGAAGACCTGGGTGTGGTGCCGTGCGCGGAAGAAGTACCTCTGTATAGCTGTGGGCAGACCATGGCAACGCAGTGCGGTGAGCAAGACGTCTCGTTGCGTGTGAAGCGCTGATCAAACAGACAACATGTGCTCGATGGTTTCATCTTCCCCGCGCACAGTGCACGCAGGAGACGAGGCACTGCCAAGGCGATGACAGCGGGCCGTAGGCTAGGAGCAGCCGATGCGTAAATGAAATAGAATGGCCCTCTCCCTCCCAGTAAAACACTGGTCAGACAGCCGAGTCGGTGGTTCCAACCTGGCTGCACGATCGCCATGGTGGCAGCGTAGCAAAAGCCTTCTCAATGTGAGCCTCGAAAAATATGAGGTGACCACGCCACGAAACACGGTGACGGCGGAATGATGCTCTTCTTTCGCCAAGGCGTCAGCCTGCTCATTTCTCTGGATTCTCACATGATATGGGACCCAGTTCCGAGAAACATCGATGCCAATGGCAAGGAGGGCATGCAGTTTGGTGACGAACAGCTGCGTTCCGAACCCTGCCCGTTCCGGCTTCGCCAAGGTCAGCAACGCTGCTCTGCAGTCGCACGCGAAGGCCACGGGGCACGTTGGTGGGTTTGCTGCCAGGAGGTCAACTGCCATTTGGAGACATGCCGTCTCTGCAGCGACAGAGCAGGCCGCAAAGGGGAGACGACAGGAGGCCATCGAATTTAGTGCTGGTATAACACAGGAAGCTGTGGCCGAGCCTTTGTCTGCGATGACAGAGCTGTCCGTGCCTCTCAGCAAGCGGTTCTTCTAGCTTGGAGGCAGATGCCTGCTTGAAAGCGAAAATGGGTGAGCGGTGCTTGGCGAGCCCTCCTAGACCGGTGTTCAAAGCCAGTGGTATTTCAACGTACGCGTTTAAACATGTGTGTAGGTGCACAGCCGCTGGATAAAAAATTGGCCCCGAATCTACATCTTACACTGCAAATGTCATCGAAAGACGATAGTCTTGTGTCTGGAGAGAGTAGACAAAAAGTATAATTGATGTTCTGTGCAAGAAAATTGGTGAATAGTATTCTGAAGGCGCAGCGTTAGAGTGCCTCGAGCGTGTAGCGGAGGTGAACGAGCGCATCGAGGCATGTTAAACACGAGCACCATATGGCAGTAATCTTCAAAAACGAAGGCGTGCGCACCCGCAGAGAAAGATGCTCGCCTGTCTCGGAGGTGATAAGATGTAGAACCCAAAGCGACGGGCAGGTGCCACCGCCGTGTCGTCTTAGCAAAGCGTTGGAAACGCTTACCTTCTAAATGCGAAGCGTTTCTTAGCGAACTTCGGCGACTTTGAGCGTATCTATCTATCTATCTATCTATCTATCTATCTATCTATCTATCTATCTATCTATCTATCTATCTATCTATCTATCTATCTATCTATCTATCTATCTATCTATCTATCTATCTATCTATCTATCTATCTATCTATCTATCTATCTATCTATCTATCTATCTATCTATCTATCTATCTATCTATCTATCTATCTATCTATCTATCTATCTATCTATCTATCTATCTATCTAGCCGCCTATGACGTTTAAACTCCTGGCCATTTCAATGATGGTATTGATACCAAACTTGGTATGGCATAACATGACTGTATTAAGAGCATATTTGACTACTCATAACATGAAATTCATGATATGTATGTCATGAATGTCATGATTTACTTTTCGTGGTCCTGCAGCTCTTGCGGTGGTTTCGTTCACATCACATGTTGCAAAAATGGTATGGTATGACATGATTGCATAGCGAATACAAGCGACAGACCCTAACATGAAAATTATGACATGGTTGTCATCTAACCACATCACTACATGCCACGCTCATGATGCGCTTGTGGCCGTTTCGCTAGGGTCAAATATACCAAATTTGGTATTACGTACGGTACGTGAATTGATGACGAAGGTATGTGACTGGTGCAAACATGATAATCATCAGATGCGTGTCATGTAACAATATGGCTGCATGTCACGCTCATGATGTGCTGCCCGTTGTTTCTCTAGTTTTACTTATATTGGATATTATGGGACGTGAATGGATGACGAAGGTCTGATGCTGGTGCAAACATCATAAACATGAAACGCGTGTCATGTAACAACATGACTGCATGCCACGCTCATGATGCGCTCGTGGCCGTTTCTCTAGCTTCACATGTACCCATCTTGGTATTACGTGACACGAATGGACGACAAAAGTAAACAACGCATCCAAACATGATAATCACGACATGCGTGTCATGTAACAACATGAATATATGTCACACTGATGATGCACTCACGGCCGTTTCATTAGCTTCACATATGCCAAATTGTGTATTACGTGGCACCAATGGATGACGAAAGTATGTGACTGGTGCAAACATAATAATCATAATATGCGCGTATTATGAGAACATGACTACTTGCCACAGCCAAGGCGCCAATACATTTCGACATAACGCGGTGCGCGTGCTCGCCGGCGTTCATTTCGTCGCATCACGCCGGCATTGCCACGCTAGGCGCCGCTCCTGCCTTATAATCGCAGGTGCGCGCCGCACGGCGTTGCTTTGAAGCATGCGCGTTTCAGTGCGTCCGGCGTCCCTCCATCACGAAAGAGGGAAACGAAGTGTTGTCTGGTTAACGTATCGGCGCGAAATGCAGCATGTCGCATTCCACACCGGTTGCCGTCGGGCCGCGCCGATGGACGCTGGTCGCACAGGTCGCTCCGGTCGCACCTGGTGTCAGACAATAGAGTGCTCGCGTTTCGCTAACGTAGTGTCGCTGTGCCCAGTGTGCGCGCGTGCTAGCGCTACATTTGAGTATAAAGGGCCCTACTTTATGCACTCGTGGCCATTTTGCTATCTCCACATATACCAAATTTGGTGTTACGTGACGTCAATGGATGACGAAAGTATATGACTTGTGCAAACATTATATGCCTGACAAGCGTGTCATGTAAGAACATGACAACATACCGCGCTCATGGCGTGCTCACGGCCGTTTCGCTAGCTCCACATATAATAAATTTGGTATCACGTGACGCGAAGAGACGACGAAGGTAAACGACATATCCAAACATAATAATCATGACACGGAAGTCATTCATGTGTGGCATCATTTACCGCCCCCTTGTAATGTTGTGGTGATTCTAAAAGGGCATATCAACCTTTCTTATTCGTGCTTCACATATCATGGATTCCCACTGCACGTCGTGGGATCTGCCTTTTTTTTGAGCATCGCGTTGCACTGTCAGCGAGCGCGATTAACGCTACAGTCCTTAGAGTTACTTGTGTGTGCCTCTTATAGTATAAAGGCAGACAGACTTAACATCGACGTGTTGTTATGGCGCCTCAGACATGAGCAATAATTGCGTTTTAATTGACAAGTACACAACTATGAACGCTAAATCTTGAGCAGTATTGATGGACGCTGCGGATGGGGTCGGCCGATTGGTGCCATTTGTGGAATCGTTAAGGAAAGGCAAACAGACAAACGTACACACAGACATACAGACAGACAGACAGACAGACAGACAGACAGACAGACAGACAGACAGACAGACAAAAATTTTCCGTCGAAGGTCCCCAAGAAAGACTATCGTCTGTAAAAATCTAGCAGCCGTGGTACATATCACCTCTCTCTCGCTTCACCTTCTAGATCACTCGCAATTCTCGAGCAAACATCGAGTGGAAACGCTCTTTTAGATCGTTTATCAGTGATGAAGAGGACGTCGTGGAAGACGACGCTTCTTTGGCCGCTGAAACTTTCGCCGATATGATGACGTCTAACCCGGCTGTCTCCGCCTATGCGAGGGTTACCGAAGCCGACCTCGTTGGCGAATCACGATGCTACACGGAGTTTCGTTTGAAACCGTTCTTCCAACACTCGCTGGTTTCAACCGGGTCAACACCGTGCGCACCTCTGCTGCTCCGCATCCCATCATGGTTCCCTTCGGGGAAATGCTCCAACTTTTTTCGTAATGAAATGAAAAAAGTCGCTGTATTTGTCATCTTCTCCAACATACAACCTTAAGAATAAATTGACGGCATCTTAGGTAGCCAACAGTTGCGGTTTTTTTAACCCTACTAGACACAAACACAAGTTTAAATCAACTGATTCATCTTAACACCTATACCACAGAACTAAGCGCTTGAGAACATCTCAGTGTACAGCGAACCTCACGAACGCTTTCATTGCAATTAGTGTGCCACACATGCACAGCATTTGAAGCACATGTGCAACGCACTCATTTAAACTCATCCTGCCGAATGATATCACAGTTTGGCTTTTTACTATTTTTATTTTTTTTCGTTGTCACTGACGTTCATTATTTATTGCGGCGTACATGAAACCACCTTTGATTCGGTTTAAACAGGCAGTTTCCGACAGCGGACACACAAATCTCTCCTACAGAAAAATAAATTTTACATCACAGCAGGTGAAACGCTGGGCAGCTAATCATACAACAATACGGAGATCATATAATAAGAGCAAAAGCTGACCTGCTCTCCACCTATTTAGATCTAAGCCTTAAAAGAGGCATTCTTGTGTAGCTGAGCGCTTAAGCATCATTGAAAAATTCTCCGCTGGCGTAATCTGCACGGGCCGCTGTGTAGGAGTCAAAGGAGGACTTACTATACGTGCCCGTTTACCAAGACAGTTTAGAAGGAATCATTTCCCCTCCAAGGTTTGTCCATTTATTTGCTCTCCATGTCATAATTTTTACACTGGGCAATCTCTGTATTATGAGCAACAGTGTCTCGAGTGTGTATTCCCCTCAAGCCCAACTAAACACTCGGCCACCATATTAGTAATAGAGGAAAAAAAGACAAGGTGCTGATTTGCAGAATCGTATTCTTGCCCTTGAGATGGCGTTAAAGCTTATCTTTTGGAAAGGTATATTGACCGTTATGAGGCTTGACAACTAACTGTAGTACTTAGAAGCCTTAATAAATCCACTTTACTATACCTGATGAAATATCTTTTTAAACTAGAGGTTTTAACATAGGGTTGAATATGTGCTTTGGTAAAATAAAACGCCTCATCATGGTGTTCTAGTGGATATGCCACTAGACTGCTGACCGGAAGGTCGCGGGATCAAATTCCGGCTTCGGCGGGTGTGTTTCCAGTGGACGAGAAATTGTTTGAGGCCCTTGTATTTTGATTTAGGTCCACGCTGAAGAACCACAGGTGGTGAAAATTTCTGGAGCCCTCCACTACGACATCTCTTATAATAATATGGTGGTTTTGGGGCATTAAACCCTAGATCTTATTAATAATTCCTATCAGACCATTCAGATATAAACTTTAGCGTTTATCTCAGTGTTGCTATAGAACAATGTTTATTGACTTGTAAGTGTAATTCTCCAGCTAAATGCTCAATTTGAGCATTTGACCAGACCAGTTAGGAGCTTTACGGTACATCTCGCGTCGCGTTCACCATTAGTTCACCGCTTAGGCTCGGACTGTTTACCGGCTCAAAGTATGTCCATCAACATGCTTTTAGATGCTGAAAGTTTAGCGACCGCAAAGAGCATTATTCAAAAAGAGTATTCAAAAGACTAGTTTTGAAATAATATAGCAATCTGTCATGACTGGTGCTATAGTGCTGCCTTTCCCAAGCATGCTTGCGGCATTAGCAGACAAAAACAATGCGAAAGGTTAATAATGTTCTTTCACAACGTGATGTGTTTAAAACGTCTGCGTGCATGTCCATGGAAGCATAGAATAAATATTTCACAATAGGAATGTTTTATACCTATTTGGATTATATGTTACTACGGTTAGCACGGCCCTTTTGCGCGTGGGCACGTTTGGCAATTGAAACTGGTGACGTTTTTAAGGACCCTTAACAGGCCATTGTCAATTTTTACTAAACGTTACAAAGCTCGCAAGAACGCAGTTATCTATGTATCATTAACTTTGAAATCAATTACTAGCGTCGTTAACACTATATATGACGTCCTTGCCGCCACCCCTCGATGACTTAATGCAGTGCAACGATGTGTATATGTGGAACAAAAGTACCACATCACCATTCTTTCTCCTTTTCATCATTATCGTAAAAGAGTAGCCGAGTTGGTAAATCTTGGTGCAACCGAGCATATTAGGGTAAGTCGGCATGCATTCGCAATGTAGGAAAAGTGCTTCTCGCTCTTTATTATAACTTTGGTTTTATCTACAGCCATGGATACGTGCGTATAGAGCATGCGAGCAGCTGGTCGCTGCTCTGCAGTGTGACAACTTGAGGAAGTTTGGGGCTATGACGTGGACTGCCCGACTACTAGACCGTGCATGCTTCCGACATAACCAGTCAGAACCTGAAACTACCTCAAGGTGCCTCCCTGCAGAGTAGAGGCCAGCTGCTCGGGCGCTCTACCCAGACGTGACCATGGCTGTACATTCAATACGATCTACAGCAACTGGCGGCTTACCACTTACTAATTTAAAACATAAATAGGTACATCATGCGTTCCCTTATCAGCTCATAAATGCTAACACGTTGTCTGCACTCCGGAGGGCTACCGAGTGTAGCAATCTCTCCTCGTCTCTGTCCAATCGCCCCTCTCCTTTACAAAGAACAAATAAAGTTATCTATCTACTTGCATTCCGAGAACATATGGCCCAGGCCCACATTGAACGATGTGTGAAAAGAAAAAAAAGTGCAGATATGGCTTATGGCAAGTTTACGCAACTATTTAAGGAAGTATAGTGTGCGCGTGTAACGATGAAAACATTAAAACAGAAAAAAAGTTGTCCTAAACCGTGGATAGATAAGCACTTACTTAAGCTCATAAACAAGAAGGACAAGTTGCACACTTATTTCACTTAAGCAAGATCAACGGAAGCATTAAACGTATTTAATTATTATAGAAACTACGTCATAAAAACGACTAAGGAATGCTAAGTAGCACCATCATTTTAATCCGTTTCACTTAACTGTAGAACGCCCTCATATATATTGAAGGACAGTCACTTCAATAACAGAGACTGTGCATGAAAGCAATAAGGCAGTCCCAAAAAAAGAAATTGAACTTAAAGGGATTGGTGGAGCTTATGCGCTTAATGACTTTTTGTCCCTCTGTCAGGCTTATGATGGTATCGACCTCTCGCACTCTAGCCCCCCTAATTTTCAGTCATTATATCTAAGGAGGTTCAACGCAATAAATCATTTGTTTCATTCTTATCATTAAGTAACAAAAAACCACAGATGCATTTGGTATTCAAACAGCGCCGATAAAGTTCGTCCTAGAAATAATCACATCTTCTTAGAGGAAGCTTTTGTTTTTGTTTAACAACACGCATTTCACATCGAAGCAAGCAGGCTGCGAAGGTCTCAGTAGTATACAAAAGGCGACAAAAATTAACTTTCAAATTACAACCCTGAATTAGTGGGGCCTGTTTTTCCGAAGGGTTTAGAAAAAGTGCTATCGGAGCAGTTTCGTTCGTTAACGGATCACTTTATTATTAGAAGTCCTGCAGAGTTCACATTTGGTAATAACACTTCACCTTAATTAGCCTCTATTGCCAAAGAAGATAGTATATTTCAAAAGTTCAAGAAAAATAAAAGGGTGCTTGGTATTTACCTCAATTTTTTAAAGGCGTTTCACCTCACAAGACTTACTGTTTTGCTTATAAACCTCATCTCTATGGTATTCACAGCGTAGCTCGATCTCTAATTACATCCTACCTTCAACACAGATACAAATTCATGGCTATAGCTGTGGACCATTTAGAGTTGAAATATATAACAACAGGCATCTCGCAGGGGAGCATACTGGGTCCGTACGTCTTCACGTTGTACATCAATGACATAGTAAATGTTGGCCTATCGGCAAAGTGCATAACTTGTGCAGGCAATACAAGCATGTTTTTGAGGATGTCTTAGGTTTTGAAATTATTCTGGTATTTCCTGTATTGTTTAACACATATATTATTGACCTCCCAAGATTTCACCTACACCGACCATAGTCATGTATGCGGATAACACTTATAGTGTCTTTTCAAGCACATCCTAAAAACAGATTCAAAAAGAAATCAACGATTATTAGACATATTGTGTGACCAGCTAAACTTAAACGAACTTTAATTAAATGTTACAAAAACTAAATACATAGTATTTAAGCCGATAAATACACCACTGTCAGTTGATATAACTGTTTTATTCAAATAAAAGGAAATAGAACGGGTAGCAATGCGAAAGTTTTCGGTTGTATGGTTTGAAGAAAAATGGTCTTGGAAAAATCATGTGGATAAGATCAGCAGTGTCTTTGGCAAAGTAAAAGGCTCTATATATAAAATTAGTATTCTTATAGCACAACCACTAAAGAAGCATTGCACTACACCTTTTTTACTCAAACCTAGTTATTGTGTATTAGTCTAGGGGACAACTGCCAAAACTTACTTAAACTCCAAAAAAGGTAATTTCATTTCGTTTGACTTACTTTAGCCTAAGGGCTAAAAACGGGCATTACACGACGGAGGGGTGGGATGCAATGCAGAGTACAAGAAACCAAGACAAACAAATTAAAGACGAAACAAGCTCGAAAAAGGAAAAAAATGCAATAACAAGCAAACATAATGGAAACACAACGTAAAAAGGCAAACACAGTTCATTATTACAAGGTTCAGTAGAGTAAAGTAATCGATCAGTGAATATATGGAAAGTACAATGTAGCAAAAATATATATACATACAATAACGTAAACTAGAAATTCGACGATTCAGTAAGTTTGGCTCGACTACTCAGTTAGGTAAGATAGCAAGGCTGAGTGAAAACCAGCTAATTTTTCAATTTTTGCAATGTTGCGCGGAAGGGCATTCCACTCTTTTATTGATAAAACCAAAGGAGAGGGTAAATATTTTACTGTGTGAGCGTATTGTGGATGTACCATGTGAGCGTGATCACATCGGGCTGAAATGTTTCCGGCTGGATGAATGAATTTCTGTGAGAAGGGACTGTTGCTAAAGTAGATGCTATGAAAAAAGGATAACCTGGAATATTTTCTGCGTGTCTTAAGTTGTAATAGAGTTCTTTTTATTGATGATACACTCTGAAAACGCGAATATGAGGAAGCAACGAACTGAGTGGCTTTATTATGAATTCACTCAAACATGTCAGAAATATATTTTTTATGCGGATGTCATACGTTAGAAGCGTACTCTAAGTATTATGATGAGTTTGATGAGTGAATTAAATGCCTGAAGTTTAGTGCATTAGGTAGCCAGGCGTAGGCGGCGTTTTAAAAGGACAAGCTTGTGAAATGCGTTGCTGGTAATTAACTCTACATACTTGTTCCACGTGAGATTCTAACAAAGAGTGACACCTAAGTATTCAATGGATGATACTGTTTCATTAGGAGACTTGTTGGTGAGATATACAATCGGCGAAAGATTGGTATCTGGAACAAATAAACATGTTTGGTCTTTTCAACGTTAATGTTCATTAGCCATTTGCTGCACTATTTGTAAAGCATCGTTAAGTCAGATTGCAGGCTTAAAATGTCAATCTGGTTGCCTATTTTTTGTATATTATGCAGTCATCAGCAAAAAGTCGTACGGCAGACTGCACGTTAAGTGATAGTTTAGAAATAGCAGCGGCCGTAACGCTGACCCTTGTGGAACACCCGACTTGACCTATGTTTATTTAGATAAGTAGGAGTGAATTTTAACACACAAACACCTGTT